CTTGGTGATGATTCTAGTTTTTCATTCATCCATTGTGAATCTTCTGTAAACCATGGAATTATTTGAATCTAGACATAAAAACGATTTTAGATGCTATTGGAGCTATTACAAGGATAAAAAACAGTTAATATACACTTTTTCGACGAGCACTGGTACGATGACTTGGAACATCAAGATAATATTCACAACGTCCGTCATTCAAATTACGTTCATTTTTTTGTGAACAAACCCTCAATAATTGGTGAACGGATTGTTCATGATCAAATATAACATATACATAGCCAGATTTACCTAATTGAAAAACAACAGAAAACTTCTAAGATAATCTCTTTAGAATCCTTCTCTTATTCATCTTAACTTTTAAGACGTTATTGCTCTATGGATTCAGTACAAAAAATTTTTTACTATAACTTACCATGGTTTCCGTTACGATTTATCGAAAAATTATCTGTTGGCCATTCAAGACGACATGGGCCAAATTCTGCTAACCGTGAACTTAGATCACCTAAAAAGAATTTCATAAACTGTTTTACCTTCTAAACAGATTAATAAAATCGTCTTACGTTCATGAATGTCGTGTGGAATACCACCAAGAAACACTTTGCACGACATAGACGGAGTTTGAACGGAAAACCCTCTTGAACGAACCGGTAATGGTGAATTCCAACACAGACCAGGTTTAACTTTTCCAAAATGTTCTGGAAATAAAAATTGTGTTTAAGACAGGTGTGAGTCAAAAATACATGAAAAAATTTTGTACATACGTGTAGCTTGTCGTCGTTCTTGCGCTGCTGCTCGTTTCAATCGATAATCATTTTCAATATTTAATCGTTTCTAGAAAATGAAAAATAAAATGATGCAACTATAAAAAGTAAGATTTTTCAAGTACTTACAAAGCTTTCAAGAATTTTCCTTGAATCATTATCGTATAAGTGAGTTAAATTCTGATGAGTACCGGCATACGGATGAATGGACAATTTTTTATCCAAGAAGTAATCAAGTTGATTATTTAACAGAGAACTATGTCTCGATATTGATGTTCCGTTTGTATTAGGTCTAAACAAAGTGAAAAGACAAACAGTCAAGATCTGGGCCAATCTTTTTAAATACAAATTACCGTAACAATGGTGTTGATGTATAGCCATTATCCATCATACCAAACAATGTTTCGTCATGACTTTTTCCGATGTCGGATGACTCCAATTCAGCGGCTATTGTTATTAAAAAGACAAAAAATTAATGGTAGTGTGGTTTAATAATACTTTGCTTTTACCTAACGTGGGATATGATGACGATGTTGGTAACGCTTTTGGAGGAGTTTTTCCCATTCTTGCAAATGCCACATCAAGTAAACGTTCGATAGCTGACTTGTTTTGATCTTGTTCGCGAATATGCGCAAGTAAACGATCAATTGCTGGCAATTCTAAGTTTAGAAACCATTTTTGAATACTAAATATCGTGTAAAACTAAGGAGTACTAACCAAATTGACATTCTGATGATAGATCAGATAAACTGGTTGCATCATGTTCTTTCAAGTGATACTGAAACAAAAGTCATATAGTACGAGAATAAGCACAGATTCAAAAATAGAGCTGTTCCTTGTAAAAGTGTATTTATCTTTTCTTCTGGACAAAGATGTCATAGGAGAGAGCGGTCCGATAAACGTTTGACTTATTCTTAAAAAGAAACTTTACTAGACAAAACGAGATATTTCTATATTCACAATAAGTAGAAATAAGGTGTAAGAAGCCTTCGCTCACATGCTGAGTCCTATATTTTTTAACGCAAGTAAAGTTGTTATATAACTCTCTGACCGATCGCGGCGAATAAGCTCTTACTTTCAATTGGCGACGGTGTTTATGAAAGTCAGATAGGACTTTTTTACACAAAAAAGATGTTTTTTATCGTAAAACTTCATCTTACTAATTAAAACATTGGGTTTTTCAATTTCTATATAAATCTTTTGTGCACAACTTGAATATTCAATCGTAATCAGTTCAAAAAATTTTAAAAGTAGTAAAATTTTCTGTAACAGCTGGACGGTTTGCTGATGGCTTTTTCATCGGAAAGATTGTGGAAATAAGAGATTATCACTTAACGACAATCTTTTATCAGGTTTCACTGATTCTACAGCCCCGAGTATGATAAAAAAATCCACGAGTTCTGTTTAAACGACGTTTTTAAAAAATAGGCATTTTATAGGAGTGAGTTATGTTACACTATAGAATTTATACAGAAGTGTAAATGTTCGTATTCAACTGGTACATGTTACTCGATAAATGCGTAGTTTTAATGAAAACAATTTGGCATTGCAAAACCATATAACAAAGCAAACGGGCCCTAAGCACACACATAGTTTTGTATAAATTTTCAAAAATAATCAAACATAATCATGCATAGTTGAAAATTATGCATAATTCATAGGACCCATGCCTGGTTATGCATAGGTGTTTTGCTCTGCATACCGATGCGTAGGACGTTTTTTAAAGTAAAAAAGTATTAAATTTACAAAGATTTTTTTATAGGTCATCGAGCATGCTGAGTATAATGCACACACGCAGAGCTATGCAGGAGTAATATTTGTTGGTTTTAGTCCACCATCACTGAGAACCTATAGAACATCTCTTATCTCACGGGAAAAGTCGATTTAACGTAGATGCTGTTCATAGCTGATGAAATGTGTGTGGTACGTGACAGTTCAGATGTCCGTTCGATTTCTCGTAGTTGGTAACTTATAGAAAACTGTCATAAAATTCATCTATATGTTGATCAATCTCTAGTATCTGATCGAAAAACAATGTAAAAAGTATTTTGCGTTTTTCTCGAAATCGTTTCTTTGTGTCAGTCACTATCACCGTTTCAAAAATTTCTCAGCTTTGCATCACAAATTAATAGGAATTAATTAACTTCAGTTAAAGATATGATCTATGGGAACAACCTAACAAAGCCGGACGTTTAAGCCTTATTTTTGGTCTTATTTTTTTTACACACAAAGATTTCTCGAAAACCTCCAACGATTTTTCGGGTTTTTGGACTAAAACGCGTATAGCTCACTTCTAAATAAAGTTTCGAAAATCCGAATCTGTTGCATTATTCCCCTTTATCACCCCATAACACGAACCACCTCGAGCTCTCTGGCTGCTTTCTCGGAGGCAAAATCTTTGTAACGCCATCTACTTCTTTTGACATCTGATAACCCTATAACTCGAAAACGGTTGTCTAGAAACTTGAAATTTATTTTGTAAAGATCTTAGCCTTGAGAAACCTTTCTCTGAAATTCATGAAGATCAGGCTTATTATTACTGAAATAGCTTTTTCGTGCGAGGGGAGCCTTAAAAGATTGCATCGTTTTTGTACAATTTCTTCCATCAAAATTACAAATAAATTTGCTACTGGCGATGATGGTAACACGACTAACATGTCTATCTGCATGCAAAACACAGCATTCTTTGCATTTTTTTCCTATGTGCGTTTAGAATAGCTTTAAAGGAATATACTAATCCTCGAGTACTATTAATCAACTTTAGAATAGAACATGACAATCAGAATAAGAAAACTGCTGCTTATATGGGCCGTCTTTTTCATTTTTTATTCGTGTTTATAATAGTTAAGTGAACGAAACTTTAAAAAAATTGTTAGACTGTGGAAAAGTTGATACTTACTGGGTATCCGTTGGCCATGCTAATCTATTAGTTTCTCAAAAATTCATAAAAACGTTACAAAATAGGATCAAGAACGTTTACAACGCAATGAAATCTCTTTACTGAAGAAAATAGGCAGTCCATAATGATCAATGAAATTTTTGTTTAACTGTTTTCTGTTGTACATATCTTTACTACAAAACACGTGTAAAAAATGCGTCTTCTTTTTCTCCGCTGAGTGTTAGTCATCGTGACGCCTGGATATTAAGGAACACTTTATGAAAGGAATTATTGTTGCATTCGATAGAACAGAATTAAATGTATTTGGACAAAACTAAAACAGATTAAAAAGCTACACTTTTCATTTTAAGCAAGTCCTTTTTATAGAAAAATCCAGTATACAAGAAAAAGATTCGACGAAGTATGCATGGTCTTAAAAAAGCTGAAATCCCGATTCTAATTGGTAGACATTTTAATGACAGTAATCTTTCTCTTTTTTTATACTAACAAAACTAGAAAATTGGAGAATGATTTTGCATGAAGTATCTCGCGAAGATTTAATTTCTATCTGACGATTTTTTTTAACTGATTTACATTTATAGTATCCCTTGTGAAACTTCTTGAATCAAAGTCTTGACTTTTTGAATTTTTTTAGTAAGATCTTGATTCAAGTTCTCGGTAAGAAAACATAGACATTTAAAGAAATTTTAATCTAAGTGCGAATATTTTCTTACTTTGAATGACTTCGAGTTTTTTCCCTTCTTGAACATTGTTGTTTATGGAAGAGTCTATGATTATATACAGTATACTATACGATGTCTATGGCTGTTATACATGAAAACAAACTCTAAAGAAAATTATCACCCAAGATCTTGAAATTTCTGTTAATAAGATTTTGGCCAAGATCGTAGTGAAAAATTCAAGATTCGAATCTTGGTGACAATTCTTGAGTGACAAAGAATAAGAGGTTTCGCTAGGAATGACACCTAAATCTCGCGATCAAGAATAAATCTTATTTTTGTAAGTGGTTGTAACCCATTTGGAAAAGTTGTGAAAGATAAAAAAAGGGGTATCATTGCCTCGGTATCAAAATAGTTGAGAAAATTCTCTTAATTCCAGTCGTATCAACACTCAAATTAGTGCTCTTTTAATTTGATGGCGCGCTATGTATTTTCAGTCAGGATAAGTTCTAAAAACTGAGGATTTATTAATAAATTGCCGAATCAAATGAAGACAGATTAAAATTTAGTTGGTTTTAGCCCGTCAAATATGCAGAAGATCAGCACTGCTGTTTATTTAGCAACCTTATCGTTCCAGTGTAGCTTTTCTGATTGCTTATCTATGTGAAGACGGTGAATATGAACTGTTGTGGCTTATGCAAATCAAAAGCAGTTAAAAATCCCCAAAAAATTAATAATTTGTCACGCGACAAATTGGCGATGATCGAGGATTGGATCGATCAAAACGAGGGTCCATTTAATCAGGAAAAATTATATCAACAACCACCTGAAGCCCCGGTAAAAATCTCTAACAATGACGAGATAGAACAAGCAAAAAAAGATGCAACAAAAACTAGTAATCCACATGGATCACCATCTGATGTATTACTTAATCGAGAGCGAACAGTTTTGTTAAAAGTTGCTCCGAGACGACAAATTGATTTGTATACAAATCCAATATTAAGCGAAGAATCAAAGTCATATGCCATTAGCGAAGCTTCCCATTCAACTATATGAGTTATTTTATCACGAAAAACTATAAATTCTAAGCATAGCATCGGCGAAAACTACTTACTGGAGACCAAAAATTTAATATTAGAATTAATTATTAATTGAATAAGAAGTTTTCCACATCACATGTGGCTTCGATGACTTTGACTGAGTCCTGTTTAAACAAGCAGATATCCAGTTATAGAATATGCTAAATTTTCAGAACTGCTACGCTCTCAGCAAAATTCACCGTATGTGTTTTTAATTTTTCTTGAAAAACTCATAAAACGGTTTTTGTGTTATATACATGTATATAGACTCTGTGCAGTACCTCGGAATAGAGTTCAAATCTACTATAATCTACTATTATGAGTCCAAAGGATTTAAAAATCTTTGACTTTTGTCTCCACTTGAGAAATGTCTATCCCTGTTTGGTCTGTAAAAAATGCGCAACATTGATTGTAGTTGGAAAAAAACTGTCTTTTATATTTTTAAGCACAGACTGTGTTCTCCCGGATAAGGGAATGTCCACATACCCATAATCGCACAACTGATATCAATACCTTAGCGACATCTCATTCGATAACAGATAGAGAAGAAAAAACCAATTTTTCTGACGGGAATCTTCGGCAAAGAAGTTCTTTCAGATTCACATGCTTTTACAAACATTTTTGTATGTAATTGGTAGAGTTTTCATTAAGAAAAGTATAACCAAAGCAGCGGTTTTAATCATT